CAAACCAGGTTGGCATCAAACTCACTGAGACCAGCCAGCCTGTCTCCTAAGTGCTGGGACTAAAGGTGTACACTGCCACTACCACCAGACCACTAGTGAACTTTTCATGTGTCAGCATTCTTTTAGTCGCTGACAGAATAGGTAATTATGTAGCATTTTCCTTAAAAGAGCTTTCAATAAGCTGGGCAGTGGCCTTTAGTTCCAGCACTTGGGAGGCAGAAGCAGATGGTCCTGAGTTCCAGGCCAGCCACTTAAGTCTACAGGAGCTAGTTCCAGTATAGCTACACAGAAAAACCGGGTCTCACAAAACAAACCAAACCAAACAAACAAAAAAATAAAACAAAGAATTAGCGTGGATAGGGATTGATGTGTCACACCCTAAAGACAGAATAATGAACTTCTTCAGTTTGGGTTGGTTTTCTATAGCTCTGCAGCTGCTGAAAGATGGGTCAGATACACTTAATAATCAGGGAACAACCAGGATATTAGGCGTTAAATGTTTAAGTCTCAGAGGTCATTACATTAATAATTATTTGAGCTGCAATTCATCTTACAGGTTTGTATGACATTACAATTTAGGTGGCTCTCAAAGCTCAAACAGGTTTCCTAGTGCTGAGGCATGCTAGGCAAGGTTTTTTGTTTTGTTTTTTAAAGATCTGCCTGCCTCTGCCTTCCAAGAACTGGGATTAAAGGCTAAGACAGCTCTATGTCTCCAGTCCTAAAGATTTTTTTAAATAACTTATTTAACTTTATTTGCATTGGTATGAAGGTGTCAGATCCCCTGAAACCAGAATTACAAAGAGTTATGAGCTGCCATGTGGGTGCTGGGAATTGAACCTGTGTCCCCAGGAAGAACAGCCAGTGCTCTTAACCTCTGAGCCATCCCTCCAGCCCCCCTAAAGACAGGGCACACCATCTAAGATAAAGGTCAATATAGAACTTAGTAGTAGGTAGCAGTTGGTAACTCATTTATACTCAAATCTAATTAAAGGTACACTATGGGTTTCACTATGCTGTTGAAACTGCTCATCTGTGACTTGAGGTACTACTGAGTAGTTTGAATTGCAAAGTGATATTATAGAGCTATCTAATCTTCCATTTTAGGCCCCTGCCTCCAATTGAATAACCAAATGAGAAACCATCATTTGACTTAATCTTGAAAAAGTTGAGCAAACAGGAATTGGCCTTAATTTGATTCAAAGTGGCACTGAAACCCAGGCATCTGGTTCAAATCAGGTCTCTTACTTGAATGAACTCCAGTGCCACAAATAAAAACCTCTTCACAAAGTAGGAATCTTTCTGCTTCTCAAAGATCTTTATTTTTATAGAGTCTTGTCTTGAAGAGTCAGGAATACTATCATGTAGTTGATACCATGCTTTAAAAAAAAAAAAATCCTCAAAGGGCTGAATAGCTCAGCGCTATAGCACTTGCCTACCTAGTATGTTCAAAGTCCTGGGTTAGCTTTCCCACAGTATAGTGCTTAAATTCAGCTAGACATCTTAAAATACATCTCCAGATATGAAGGATTCTAAATGAAGGATTGTTCAAACCAGTATAGAACTTCATCCATATCCTCCTCCTAAGTGCTAGACCTTCATTCAGGTCTGCCCCAACTTCCTGTTTAGGATCTTCATGTCCAGGAACTGACTCTGTAGACTAGGGTGACTTAAAACTTAAGATTCACCTGCGTCTGTATCCCAATGCTAGGATTAAAGTCGTGTCCCACCACGACCATCTTGGCTGCCCATTCCTTAACTTCCAAAAAATTAACGTGGAAAATGCTAAACAAATTCTGTACCTTGTCATATCACCTTAAAAAAGGAACATTCAGCCAGAGAGCAGTGGCACAAACCTTTAATGCCAGCACTCCAGAGACAGGTGGATCTCTAAATTTGAAGCCAACCTGGTTTACAGAGCAAGTTCCAGGAAAGCCATGGCAAAACAGAGAAAACCTATCTTGAAAGCCTGGGATAAAGGAAACATTTAAAAGGTTGAGGGCTTATATTCAGCATGTACAAGGCCCTTAGTTAAATCCCTAGCATTGTAACAACCAAAGAACTCTCAGTAAGGGAAAAAGTACTATGTATGGGGAAAGCAGGTGGTGCCAGAAAGTCTTTCCTCCTCCTTTTTTTTTTTTTTCCCCCTTGAGACTGGGTTTCTCTGTGTAGTTTTGGATCCTGTTCTGGAACATGATTTGTAGACCCTCCTCAATAGTTTAAATAGTGGATATGACCTTAAAAATTCTTAAGAGGCAAGGGAAAAAAAGACGCTGGGCAGTAGTGGTACAGGCATTTAATCCCAGCACTTAGGAGGCAGAGGCAGGCAGACCTCTATGAGTTTGATCCAACTTAGCCTAGAGTGAGTTCCAGGACAGTCAGGACTATTTCACAGAGAAATCATATCTTGAAAAACATTTTTCACAGGGCAGTGGTAGCACACTACTTTAGTCCCAGCATTTGGGAGGCAGTGGCAGGTGGATCTGAGTTTGAAGCCAGCCTGGTATAGAGATTAAGTTCCAGGACAGCCACAGCAACAAAAGAGAAACCCTGTCTTCAAAATAAAACATAAAGTTGTAGAGGAAGCCAACCTGGTTTACATAGTTGAGTTTCAGGACATCCACAGCAACAAAAGTGAGACCTTATCTTGGGGATACAAAACAAAAAAGGGGTTACTGATATGGCTCAGTGTGTAAATAAATGTGCTTGCCATAAGGCTGAGTTTGGTCTGTGGAAGCCAGAGTAGGAGGCAAATAACCACAGAAAGTTTTCCTCTGATCTCCACAAAGGTGTACATACCCACACAAGACACCCCCCCCCCAAAAAAAAGAATTTCCTCAGATTTTTACCAATTAGTGTTGGTAGCAATATGGTACAGCCAGATATTCATCTTCCTATTTCCCCTCACCACAGATCATCAACATGGAGCAGGCTGGGCTCAAAGTGAAGCTTAACTTTTGGCACTGAGTGGGCTGAACTACTGTACACAACAAAATTAAAATTACATCTAGGGATAAGCAAAGTAAGAGTAGCAGAACTCAAAAATTTACTAGCAATGAGAGAAAAAGGATTTTAAAAAAAACAGGCTTTCTCTAAAATCTTCACATTTGTAGATAGTAATATTAAATGCTGAACTAAGACTTGTTTAACTTTATAGCAGGTATGAAAACAAACAACAAACATTTCTTTTATACTATAGACCTGAAGGGAACAGGCATGTGATCAGGTACACAGAAGGTTGGACAGGATCCCAAATTCAAGCCCAGAGTAAAACAGGGTCCAAAATTGAACTCAAACTTCCCATGTTGTTGGGAATATCTTAACTTCTGACCCTGTCCATTATTTCCTGAGTTCTGGGATTAAAAGTACTTGCCTTCATTCCTGGTTTATGCAATCATGGTGATTGCTAGGTAAGCACTTTGCCAATATGAAAGAGGTATTATCAATAAACGCCTCAAAAGTAAAAAAAAAAAAAAAAAAAAAAAAGAGCCATACTCTTGGGGAGGGGGGAGGATCTGATTTTGTAATACCACAAATCAAGCTAAATGGTTCATAAATGGTTCAAAGTATTCTTCAAGTTTCCAATTCCACAAAGTACAAATAAAAAATAAGCTATTACTGCTGATGAATAGCATTCCATTTATATGCACAATGTTGTTCTTTTTGTTTGCTTTTTGAGACAAGGTTTTGCAATTAGCCTTAATTGGCCTGCAACTCTCTCATGGCTGGCTTCTAACAACTTAAGAGGCAAATAAGCCTCTGCCTCCCAAGTGTTGGGACTAAAGGTACATGCTACCATGTCTGGTCCTGTACACATTATTTTTATAGTAGTTGTACAATTAAAAAAAAGAGGAGGGGTTAACAAAAGTAAATAATTAGTAAGAATTAAATTGAATAAAATTGGCTAGGATTTTTTGTGCATGTTACTAAGGAGACTAATTTGAAATATCTTTGTAATACAAATGAGTTGGAGTTTGAAAGATAATTACTAATAATCCTTTGTAACTGATTTAAATCAAAACTATTCTTTGGAACATATTGTCAAACACACCAAAAATCCCTTCCTGATTTTAAGAGTGACAAAACTAATTTTTCCAAGGCTATTCTCAATTCTATGGACATCCCTGAATATGAGCTTTTGCAATTTCTTTATCCACAGCATTTAAAACTTTAAAGAAAACGCCTTATTTTTATTTATGTAACAAGAACAAGAAATCCACCAGAACTAAACTGAGATCTTTAGTAGTTTTTAGAACACCAAATCTACACTTCAAAATAACTTGTTAAGCATGCACAAAATGTAGTGAATAAAAAGTCACAACTGACAAAATATTTTGGTTAACATTCCAAACATGTTTAACCAACCAATCAACATGGCCTAGGTTTTTTTTTTTTTTATTGGTATTCACTTCAGTAACTTGAATCCACAGATATAAGCAGTATATAACCAGAGAGTTACAAGTAAACACAGATTATACATGCAAAGTTCTGCTCACAAAGGTCACGTGTGCAGGTACATGAATTAGAAGCGTGCGTCTAGAATTATGGCCAAACTTTTTAAAATGCAGAAATGTAAAATCACATCCTGAAAATATAGAGGTGGTTCACACACTTCAAAAATCAAATGTTGCTTATACCAGAGATGTATGACAGCTACAGGATTCAAGTGACAAGCAATAGGTTTTCAAGAAATTAATACTGGTCAAAGAGAACAAGGATTTTTTTTTACATTTCACTGAAATAACATTTGACTACTAGAATACGAAACCTAGCAGGAACTCAGGGAAAAAAATTACAAATCTAAAGCCAATATCACTTAATATTTCTTATCATCTAAACAGCATGACATTAAAAGAAAACTGCACCTGCATTCAAATGGCCAATCTCACAAGAATGAAGTTCTCTAAAAATGAAATGCAACCAAACAGCTTCCAAAGTCAAACGAAAAGTCTGCAAGGCTCAGATTAAAATGTGGAATGTTTTAGATGAAAAGTAATAAAAAATACAATTGGTTTTGTTCTTTATTGAATGGAATTAAAAGTTGACATTTTTTGAAGCCTCAAACTACTGAATTTCACTTTTCTGAATGGTTCTGTTATCTTTCTCTTAGTGGTGCAAGTTGTTTTCCATAGTTTACAACAGTCAATCTCTAGGAAGTACTTTTGTCTGTTGCCATTCTGATGAAACAAAAACTTTTCATTAACTTAACTGTATGTGTACTTTCTGCTATAACACTTAAACACATGAACAGACATCTATCATTTTTCCACTAAAACAAAAGAGTACAATAGTTTTCTAACTATCAGTATTGTATTTAAAAAAGGTTAACATTAAAATCAAAGAACCATTGTTTTCCTTGAAATAATTAAGCTTCTTGTACATCTTAAGTTTCCTTCTTCTGTCTCCGTTCTTCTGCCAATTTATTCAGAAATTTCTGAGGGGGGAACAAAAAAGAATTACAGAGACTAAGTAACTCATGAGACACCTAATACATACATACATACACATATATATTAATTATAAAATAACATATTCAGTCCAAGTTTAGGGACTTACAATAATGTGTTAATATTTTATGAGTGAGTTAAACTTAGCATAGAAAGCTAAACTGGCTCAGGACACAACAATAATGTATGAAAAAATGGCAAATGTGGAAAATGGATATTTCAATGTGCAATTAACCCTAACTTTTAGAAATGAGAAAACATAAGAACATGATCATATAACGAAGAAATAGCTACATCAGATCTTTGTTGCAACAATTTCACTGACCCGAAGGAGCCATAGACAATACTTGAAAGATCATGGCTTTGACTAGCTGTGTTGTAATAACAGCAGGTGGCTGGGCAACAAACTATACAGCTTGGTGACCCCTGCCACCTATGACATCCAAGGTACAATTTCTAGACACAGATCTATTAAGACACTTAGGGACTACTAAAGATATTTAAAAAGCATTTCTGTTTCTTTACTTCTAGTTAAAATATATCAGTACTGGTTATTGCAGACTGATGAGAGGGTTAAAAGCCATTATATTATATCCTTAAAAAAAAAAAAAGTGAAAACAAACAAAAAACAGGAAAAAAAAAAAACCAACACAAAACATCTAGTTAAGGTGTCAAAACAGTTAAGAAAAGTCAATTATCATCTGAGTAACACAAGCTCCCTAGTATTCTTTTAATGCAGCTAATTCATATTTTCTCTAATTACTTAGTCATAAAGCACACCCTTCTAGGTAACACACATGGTTTTGACCACATATGGTCTAAAATCCAAATAAGGCATTTGTAGTATGAATGAAGCAATACTCCCAAAATTGCTGCTAGCATTGAAAATGACCACCATTCTTCTCGTATATTCATAATGGTAAGAGACATGTAGATTGTAATAAGTTAAATTTGAAAACAACACACACAATAACTAAAATTGTTTTCAGAATTCAAGGCTACCTTTACCCACGTCAACACATAAAATGTGATGAGATAATTGAATGCCACGCAAGATGAGTTTCTTGTTTGAAAAACTTGGGATTTAGAAGTGTTAGGGACTTCAGATTTGGATGAGGCTCCATGAAATTCTTCCCCCCCCACCCATATTGAGTAACAGCCAGACCCTTACACATGTTACCAAGAGTTCTACAGATCTGCATCTCTGTCCTTGATGTAATTTCGTATTTCCTTCCTTTCATGTTTAAGTGGGTATGCACATACATAATTAAGCCAATGATTGACATCAGGAATCCTTGATTGCCCTTCAACCTTATTCACTGAAGCAGGGTCTCTCAATCCCTGCTGATAAAGCTGGTTTCACTAGCCAGCTTGCTCTATTTTCACCTTTAACAGCAACAATTATAGTACAACCCCCACCCCCACCCCAAACCTGGTGATTACCTGAGTTCTGGGCAGCAGTCCTCTTGCTTTCACAGCAAGCAGGTTATCACTGAGCCATATCCCAAGCTCTCCAAATAAAACTTAACACAGTATTTTGAAAATACAGCATTCTGACTACAATTTATTACTCTCAATAGGCTAGATGTGGAGTTATCTTAAGACTGTCAGATTAGGAATATACAAATAGCCACTATTTACTATAAATGAAGGTGTGTAAAAAACCAAGTCACCCACAATTGAGTTAAGTACTAGTTTCAAGTTTGCTTATGTTACTTAATATTGAAGCATTAAAGAGGCTCCTAACTAAAAAACACAGTAGGAATTGTTCTTGCTTGCCATTGGGCATTACTCCTTTATGTTGTGATGTAGAGATAAACAATCTGTTGGCTATAAAAGTGAGAGTATCATCATTAGTAACTTTCAAATAAGTCTTTAAAGGTGGCTTACACTTATAATCCCAGTAGTTTGGGAGACTGACACAGAAGGACCCCAAAGTCTAAGCTAATTAATTATGACCTAGAGCGGGAGGCTTGGTCTCTAAAATGAATAAAATCAAGGACTGGGCACAAACCTCAAAAACTTTAATTGTTCTATTTCATGTTCAGACTTCTACCATCTTTGAAATTTGAGAAATAATTTTGAAAATACTTGAATAAGTTATAATATAAAAAAGTATGGTTAGAAATCATTACTTATTTTCTTTCTTACCAATTCACTACAAAGCTCAGGATGGCACTGAGCTACCGATCGTCCTGATTCCATCTCACAAGTCTAAGAATTATGGGTGTACATTACTACATCTGGTTTATTTGAGTGAAAATGTGCTCAAAAGTTTGTAGGACCCATTAAATTCCTTTAAGTCCAGGCAAGTTAAAGAAAAATGTCTTTGAGATAAAGCAATATGATGGGTCCTAGGGCATACATACATTATACTTATGTACCTCATTTATTTCCATAAATCATTTGCTGTCATAAATCTCCTGTTATATTCAGCCTTACCTTTAATTTCTGATAATGAGGAAGGCTGCTGCAATGAGTATTCTTTGCAACTTCTTCATTTGTATAAAAGAGTGAACACAGCTTACAGTAAAACCCTGTTTTAGGTATCACATAGTCTATACCTAGAAACACAAACATACATTCTTACAAATTAAGTAAACTTAAATTATACTTAGTAATCTCAAATCTTTTTTCCTGTCAATAAAATTTGAATCGGATAACATTATTGGGGAAAAGCCCAGCATGGACTAAGCTTAAAAACATAAACAATAGCATATTACTTTCTTTTTACTTATCTGATGTTCAAGGTCCTATCTATCTGTACTCATAAAATGGAAGACAAGAAAATAACAAACACAAAACGAAATGTGTAATTTTAGAAATCATCACGAGAAGAGAGAACATGATGGAATGTTAACATAATACAAAATTAGGAGACATATGGAAGAGGAAAATAGAGCACATGTCAGTGTAAGTTCACAAATTAATGGGTGGGGAGATAGAGACAGTAACTTTACATACTCTCAGACCAACCTTTTATACTGTAAGATCAATATTCAAAACTTATTTTAATAAATTTGTTGAAAGAGAAGGGGAAGAAAGACTTTAGTGCTCACCAACAGGAACATTAGGCTGATATGGTCCAATTCTATACTCATCTGGAATTGTATAGTCCTCCTTGCTTTCATCATTTTGGCCATCTGCATTTTCACTTGTGTCTTTGTTTGAATCATCAGTATTCTCAGCAGATTCAGCACCCGGTTCTGTATTTTCCTCATTTTTAATCCCATTTTCCAAAGCAGCTTCATTTTCTTGATCAAGTTCCTCCATCTTGTCCACCTAATTTCAACCAAACCATCGTCATTTTAATCACAAGATTTAAATGTCACGACCAACTTATGAAGTTTAGAGTTACAAAACCATACAAACTCCCTGGGAAATGATGCTGTTAAGAAAGACAAATTTACTCTGCAGGAACAATCTTGCAGTTAAGGGAAAAGGATATCATCTTTTTTTTTTTTTTTTTTTTTTTTTTTGGAGACAGGCTCTTGCTACTTATAGTCATGGCCCAAACTGGAGTTCACAATACCTCAGTTTACATTTCTTGCCTGTCTTTGTATTTATTCATTATCTCAAAATAGCCTTTAATTGGGTTAAGAATGCAACTCATAGATGGTATACTTCCCTAGCCTGTATAAAGCCCTATAGTCAATCTTCAACATTATCCTTAATGTATTATTTAAGAACAGAACAAAAATTTCTGCTAGACTCACTAATGACTTCAAAAAGATTTTGAAGTAGCAGGATGGTCAGTAGGAAGACTACAGTTGTGGCCAATTTAGCTTGTCATAAAGTTAAATAATAGGCGTTAGAGTTATTACTCAGTGAAGAAGTATTTTCTTTTAATGTGTTGCCTTTAGTTTGACCCCTAACATTAAACAACAATCCCCTAGAAAAACAAATTCACCAAGCTTCAATAACAAAGTCTGGGGCTGAAGAGATGGCTCAGTGATACAGAGCAGTGGATGCTCTTCCAGAGGTCCCAAGTTCAATTCCCAGCACCCATATGGCAACTCACAACTGTCTATAACTCTAGTTCTAAAAGATCTGGCACCCTCACACAGACATACATGCAGGCAAATCATCAATACATATAAGCTAAATAAAAAAATGAAATAACAGGAAGTCCACTAAAATCCACACTTCAACAATTGGAAAGTCTGTATCATTTAAGAAAATATCAGATATAAGTGTATTTATATTCAGCTACAGTAGTTAAGAGCTCTGACGGCTTTTCCAGAGGATCTGGGTTTAATTAGCAGAATCATCATAGCAGCTTACAACTGTCTATAACTCCAGGTCCAGGGAATCTGTTACCCTCACACAGACATATGCAGTCAAAACACCAATGTATACAAAACAAAAATAATCATTAAAAAGCAAAAAAGTCAGCTGGCATTGGTGGCGCATGCCTTTAATCCCAGCAATCGGGAGGCATAGGCAGGCTGATCTTTGTGAGTTCGAGGTCAGCCTGGCCTACAGAGTCAGTTCCAGGGCAGGCTCCAAAGCAATACAGAGAAACCTGTCTCTAAAAACAAACAAACAAACACCCAAGACTCAAAAAAAATAAAAACCCAAAACAAAACAAAAACCCAAAAACCACACTTATATTTTGCTAAGGGCATGACTCAGTGGTAGAGGGCCTGTTTAAGCCTTGTCAGGCCCAAGGGTCTATACTCAGCAGCATTAAGATAAAGTTTCATATTTTATACTTTCTTAGACAAATATGCTAAGAAATGAGTTAAAGAACTTACTTGCTTAAATTCATTGAGTAATGTTCTCTGAACTGACAGTTTCTATCATACAAGTTTCATTTAGAGCAAAACATCACTTGACATAGTGAAATGGTTTAACAATTCTGTTGACATAGTGAAATGGTTTAACAATTCTGTAGTAGATTAAGAAGTTTTAAGCTGTTGCTTTGACACTTAAGAGTCATGAACTAGGACAAGATACTGAAATTCTTCATGTGTAATTTCTTAATCTATAGAATGGGGATAATAGCACCTATTAACTATAGTTATTTTAAGAACTAAAAAGAGCTGAGAAAAAAAATTACATGAGTTTAATTAAGCCATTAGGTCTTATAAGGGAAATATTACAATTATATTTTCTAGACAAAACAACTAAGTTATGTGAGTGACCAAGTCATCAAAACTTAAAATAGAAATAATAGAAATGATAACTTAAAGATTCACTAAAGGGGTTACAAAGATAGTTTAATATCTTTTTGTTTGAGACAGGGTTTCTCTGTGCAGCGGCTGTCTTGGAACTTGCTCTGTAGACCAGGCTGTCCTCAAACTCAGAGAGATCTGACTATCTCTGCCTCTGGGATTAAAGGCAAAATTTTAATATCTAATCCTTATGTGAAATAACATTAAGGCATCTTTTATTATTATTTTGTGCCCACCAACATGAAGGATAGAGGGAGAGCTTGGCTGTCATTCCTGTTGCTTTTGAGAAACAAGGTTTCATGTACCTCAAGCTTCCTATACAAGTAGGGATGACCTTGAACTTCTGATTGTGCTTCCCTGCCTCTGAGTGCTGGGACCACAGGTGTGTACCACTATGTAGCTGTATGTAATGCCGGGAATTGGGAACGCTAAGCAAATACCCTATACTAGGCAGTATCTCTAGCCTTCATTTTCTAACAAAATTCCCGTTAAGCCACTAAAAAACCTCTAAACTCTATTTTTCAAATAGGGAAAAAAAATCATCACAAAAAGCTTAATAGCAGCATTTTTTTAATGTGCATTAAATGTATATATTTGAATTTCTGTGTATCATGTGCATAACAAGTGCTTGAGGAGGCTAGAAGAGGGCATCAGATCCCCTAAAACTGGAGTCAGAGGCTGTTTTAAGCTACCTAGTATATGTGATAGGAACTGAACCTAGATCCTCAGGATCTCTTTATGTAGCCCTGGTCTGTCAGTCTTGGATTTCCCAGATGCCTGCCTCTGCCTCTTTCCTGGAGTTATGCATGTGCCATTCAACTTTTAAATGGTTAAAATAGCTTGAGTTACTGAATTTCAAATTTGTAACCCTATCTTTTTTGTTGTTGTTGTTTGTTTTCTTTTTCGAGACAGGGTTTCTCTGTATAACAGCCCTAAATGTTCTGAAATTCACTCTGTAGACTAGGCTGACCTTGTACCCACAAAAGATCTACTTGCCTCTGTGTCCCAAGTGCTGGGATTACTGGGGTACAATACCACCACCAGGCTTTATAACTCTATCTTTGTATTTGTCTAGGTCTCACTATGTTACACCTTAAATGTCTGAGTCTATTTCCTCAACCTCCATAAGTGCTGAGATTACATGAATATGCCACTATGCCTGGCTAACATCTTGAAAACAAATATACCAGAATTTAATAATTACCACTGTACAAGCTTACATAGTTTAAGTCTTTATTGTACTTTTTTACATTTTCTTTAAAAGTTGACTTTTTCCAGCTATAAGGAAATATTTCTATTGTAGTTTCCTCTCTAAATGCTTTAAACTGTACCTGACTCATCTGAGTCTGCTTGAGGGAAAAAAGAACCCCCACAAGAAAAATTCATCTGACTTAGTGTTCTAATTTAAACATAAATATAAAACTTACCTTTTTAAGTTTTTTCTTGGATGCTGCTGAAGCACTTGCATCTTTTTTCGCAGCTTTATCTGAAGGCTCCTTTTTCCCATCAGATGATACATCCCCTAAATTAGCTAGATCAGTCTCATCACCCACTGAACTACCACTTTCTAGGAGAGCGGCTGCTTCTTCCTCATCCACAAGCAGCTCATCTTCAGACTCAAGAAGCATACTGGGTTCCTGTTCTGCCTGATCATCCTTAGTGTCTTTTTCACCGTCTTCACCGGACTTCTCTTCTTGTTCTTTACCTTCAGCTGGACTCTCAGTCTTTTGTGAACCATCAGTCTTGGATTTCTTATCACTTGGGGATTCTTTTCCATCTGGAGAATAGGATCTTTTACTGAAATAAAACAGATGCACACTTGATTCTCCTGAGTTGCAAAATAAAATCCTAATGTCAGTATGCATGGTTAATATTGTTAATTTTATAAAATTTATGATCAGGTCAGCTGTAGCTGGAAATCTATTCCATGGACCATTTGGGTCCCTGACTGAATAAAAATGAGAAAGTAAACTGAAAGAATTTATCTTTCACTACATCCTGACTACAGATGCCATGCGATCAGTTTCCTCAAACTCTGTTTGCCATTATTTCCTACCCATGATGGATTATATCTTTGAACTTAGTAATACTATGTATGTAATATATAGACATGCAAAATAAATTACCGGGATTTGTCTTTTTTCAGTAAGTCAATGCCTCTGTTAGGAATCTAAAAGATAAAAGTTTTGAGAAATTAAATACATTAAATTTTACCCATCAAGTAATATTCTGTAACCCTCCTTTATATTATCAATTTAGATTACTCAATCTGTACAACCACACCCAAGAAAATCTGCCTGGAGTTTAAAAGTTTATCTCAACCACCAAACTAAGTGGGCAATAAAACATTTTCATAGTATAATTGTAATAAACTTTAAACAGCTAAGAGAAATAAAAGATGCTTTCACAAAACACATCTTTCTACCGGGAAAAAAATTTTTTTTAAAGAAAAGAAAAAGCATGCAGACACACACATATACCATAACCTAGCTGGTTTTTATCTTTGGGGGAGGCAGCTTCTCCTTATGTAGAGCCTAGGCTGGCCTTGAACTCAAAGATCCATGTCTCTATTCTTGAGTGCTAGGATTAAAGGTATGCACCATGCCTGGCCCAGATTTTTCTTATTTATATGGGTATGTATTTTATAAGGATTTTGTCTATTCGTGATAAGGTGTCTGTATTTGATTGCATTACATGCATGCCTGATGCCCACAGAGATTAGAAGAGAGGGTCAGATCCTCAAACAGTAGTGGTTCTGTGCCATCACATGGGTGACGGGAACTGAACCTGGCTTATCTGGAAGAATAGCAAGCACTCTTAATCAGTAAGCCATCTCTCTAACCATTAAGACTTATTTTATTTGTGGCTACCTGTCTTGAGTGTTGACACTGAAGTTCAGGGTCCCCAGAGGCCAGAAAAGGGAGTTACAGGCAGCTGTAGATCACCAGACTTGGGTGGTAGAAAATCTAATCCTTTTGAATTATAGCAAGTGCTTTTAACTGCTGAGCCCAAACCCCAGCCCCAAATCTTGTATTTAGTATACAAAACTACACCAGTGAAATGGTTTAGCAGTTAAAAAAGTACCTGTCCCAAGCCTAATAATCACACCTGCACCATGGCACTTGAACACCCACAAAGTATAGGAAGTCTTCTGTCAGTGCGAAGCTATGTTTCTTAGCAAAACCCTGTCTATATCCTTCCCTCTTCCTCAAAAGGTAATCAGAAAACACTTTTGTGTCTTTTGCCAGGCATATGGATCATCAGAAAGTCAAAGCAGTAATATCAATTGAACCCAGTAGCTTGGGGGTTGATTGGCTTACACAGTTAGACCTTGTCACCTAAAAATTATTAAGTACTACATACCCTCAGCACTAGTTTTTTATATTTCTCAGACAAGTCAACTTTAACACATCTCCCCTGAAACCAAAGTGCTTTCTTCAGACAATGGTCAACCATTGCCATTGCATCTTCTCTGGTTTCCATCTCAATAAAAGCCTGGAGGGAGAAAAATCAACAATATCATTTTTTCACAGAATTGTATTAAAACTGTTATTCCATATCATGAAATCTCCAGCAGAGCAATTGTATACCCTGCATCCCCTCCCCTCCCCTGGGGAGGAAAAAAAAAAAAAAAAATCCAGCACTACTGACTCTGGGGACTGCTGGTGATTGAACTCCAAGCCTAGTACTTCTGAATTTTTCCCATTCCTCTGAATTCTTTACATAAAAATTCAAATATAAGTGAATTCTGAAAAGATGGCTGTCACGGTGGCTCATGCTTTTAAGTCTGGCACTCTAGGGCCAAGAAAAGATGGAGGCCAGCCTGAGCTACATATTTTAGACCAGCAAGAGCTATCTAGCAAAATCCTACTTAAAAAGTAAAAACCCTACAACCACTACCCAAATTCTCAAAGCTGGGTGTCTATAAAAGTGAAAGATCTTTAGAAAAAAAAACTAAAAGGAAACTATTTTCCTATCAGGGAAAGAGAAAACACTTTACTTTCCACTTTGTATATATACACCTCTACTCCCAGAACTCTTAAAACCCTTCCCATATTGTGTTACCTGACTTTTCATTCTCATCAATATGTAATTCTTTATTTTCCCATAAGGCTCAGCAAGCTTGAGGACTGCACTGTCAGAATAGCCAGAATGTGGTAAGTTGCTGAGATGTATCACCCGTCCAAGTTCTTGCTTTTGATCAAACTTCTGATCTGGTTTTCCTTCAGGTTTCTTTAAAACAACAACAGAGGAAACAATTGAAAGGCAAATGAAAGGTTGGCAGGTATGTTGTTGCATTTATTAATGATCTAGCTTATAAACAACCAAGTTAACAACAACAACAAAAATGATATATTAAGATAATTACATATCACCTAGAGACAAGGACAAATGAAAGGGTACTACTAACCTTTATTCTCTTATACTTCTGGGATAAATGAACTCTTACTGGCTTGCCAAATACTAATGCTGGTGTGGTTGTATAATAATCAACTGCAGCCTGAGCATCTTCTGTGGTTGCCATTTCAATAAATGCCTAAAATTACACAAAAAGCAATTTATAGAAATGTTAACCCCAATCTTTATGCTTTACATTATTGCATTTAATCATTTAATGGGAAGCATCTTTAATAATCAAAATGACATCTTACTTAGGGTTCACAAACTATATATTTACTAAAAATCTAACATTAGGATATATCTTTTCCTCTGATATTTCAATTTCATGCAATTTTCTATTACTCTAAAACCATTCAATTTAATATATGAGTGCTATGAATAACGGATACTCCTACTCATACCTCATTAATTTTATTTAAAATTAGATGATTTGAAATGACTCCAAATGGTTCTACCAGTTGTAATAGTTGGTATCTCAAGTTTTTTCCTCGCTGAAAATCCATAATGTGAACAACTCGGCTGGTTTCCTACCCATTGGAGGGAAAAGAAAAAAATGTTAATGAAAGTCCTTTTAAAAGCATTTTGAGGGAGTTAGGTATATATTTCAGTGACAGCAGTATATACTTAGCATGTGGTATGCATGAAGACCTGAGTTAAACACCTAGCACTCATTTGTACATGCACATTTTACTGTATCTGTGGGTATCCTCACTCGAGAGCCTGAAGACCAGGTTAGAGTCCCTAGTGTCGGAATCAGAAACTATTCCAAGCTACCAAACATGGGAACTGGAAACCAAATTTGGGTTGCCTCTAGAGCAGTATGTGCTATTAACTGCCAATGGATTGATGTCTGGCCCCACACAGATTTTTAAGGAATAACTCTGGGTTTTTTTTTTTTTTTTTTGGGCTTTGTTTTGTTTTTCCTATTAGTTTTTGAATAGTTTTTTCATTTTTGTGTGTGAGAGAACATGAGCATTAATTTGGGTGGATAAGGAAGGGAATATTGTGGGGGAGGGGGGAAATACACCAAAACATTGTTTTGCTTGTTTTTTGAGATAGGGTTTCTCTGTGTAACAGTGCTGGCTGTCCTCAAATTCACTTTGTAGACCAGGCTGGCCTTAAACTCATTCAGGGTTCTGCTTCCAGTGCCAGGATTAAGGGCATGCACTTCCAAGTCTGGCTAAGATGAAAATCTATTGTATTCAAAAGAAAAGAAGCTGGAACTAGGGTTATAGCTACTTGGGAAGCTGAGACCACCCCCCTCAGCAACAGAGTTTAAGGCCAGCCTGTGTAACTCTCTATACATACATGGGGGTGAGGGGTGGGGTAAGAGACTGTACTGGTTAAGTACTTGCCTGACAGCCAAGGCCCTAGGTTTGATTCTCAATACAAAGAAAATCAAAACCCCACCACCACATTATACATTAAAATGTTTATTCTACAACACCAAAAAAGGTTATTACTTACTAACATTTAGCATTAAAGAGAATTTAAAGTATATAGAATATTAAATGTTACTAGAATAAATTCATTCAACTCTCTCCTCCCCTCTCTAACAGTGCTTCACTATATGGATATGGTTATCCTAAAACTCCAGATCAGCCTGCCTCTGCTTCTTGAGTGATGGGATTAAAGGTGTTCACCACCACTCCTGGACTACATTCTTAAAAAACAAAACAGAAAAATCAAATGGTAGTTATTATCAAGTATCAAAAACAGTCTCTCTACAGATCCTTGTTATATTTTAAAATTACATGTGCATTGTATGCGTGGGCATTTGTATGCCATAGGTATTTAGTGTGGAATTCAGAGAACAACTTCTAGGAGCTGGTTCTTTCCTTCTACCATGTAGGTCCTAGGATTCAAATTCAATTGTTTCTGTTGAGCCATTTTTCCAACCCAGATTCTGTTAATGAAAACTATGAACACAACTGAATACTAAAGTTCTAAGATTTTTATCAAGGTAGGTCTTTTAACTACTACTAGTTATATAAAAGCATAACAGCTTTAAAACTTTTTATTTTAAAAAGGGTTTCATTATGTTGGCCTTGGCTTGCCTTGACAAACTCAAAGAGATCTAGATTTCTCTGCCTGTATCCTGAATGCTGGGATTAAGTAAGTGCAAGATATCATATCCAGCATGACTAATAGTTTTCAAATTAAAATACCCATCCTGTTATAAGGACTGTGATTAAGACTGTATTAATAAAACACAGATGGCGGTGGCACACACCTTTAATCCCAGCACTCGGGAAGCAGAGGCTTGTGCATCTATGTGAGTTTGAGGCCAGCCTGGTCTACAAAGTGAGTTGCAGGACAGGCTCCAAAGCTACACATAGAAACCCTGTCTCAAAAAACCAAAAGGTTTTTTTCAATAAGCAGTTTGAGCATGGTGGTGAATGTCTATAGTCCTAGCACTGAAGAGGAAGTGGCAGATGGATCTCTGAATTCAGAGTCAGTCAGGTATATAATAGCCAAGAGCTACACAAAGAAATGCCACCCCCACAAAAGATTCAATTAATCAGCATTTAAATAGTCACACTTCCCCCAACAGCAATTATAAAAACAATAGATGTACTACAGACCACTCTGCCTTTTTGCATGTGTCTTGGTCCTTGTAGGTTCCCATTACCAGCACCTGTGCAGAGGAAAAAAAAATTTTTTAAAGGTACAGACACACACACAAAAACTTCCTTTATAAAGCAAGGTAGTTTAATTTTTTTTTTTTTAAGGACATCTTTCAAATACAAATGGGAAGGCATTATAAATGGCTGTCTTTTCACACTGTTAATTAAAAACTTTTTAATGAACATTCTAACACCGCCATTTAAATGAAAAGTAATCATAATTATTAGAAAAGTGAATTTCGCAGCAATCGGAAGACAGAGGCAGGCAGATCTTTTGAGTTCAAGGCTAGTCTGGGCTACAGGGTAAGTGCCACGATAGGCTCCAAAGCTACTCATAGAACCCTGTCTCAAAAATGAGAGAATGACAGAAAATGAGGAGGGGGGGGGGGAGAGTGAAAGGAAGGGAAAGAAAGAAAAAGGCTAAGTGAATTTCATAATTTCATATAGTCACCCAGATTTCCTCTTGGCCCAACTGCTGGTCCTCCAAGATGAAATGAAGGAGGTGGAGGTCCCAGAATTCCTGGTGCTGGGTTTGTAGATTGTTGTAGCATGAATGGATCACCCCTAGTAATAAGAACAAAATAAAAGAAACACAATAAAGCGAGTCATCAGATATAAGAGTATTAAAGGAGTATTTATACATAAAGTAGTGGAAATTGTGTAACGGTGAAAGAAGAAATATTACTATATTCTTTTCCTTGAACTGGTACATTCTTTTAAAAATTATCAAATTATTATTTGGCAAAGAAACCAAGTATTTTTATGAAACACAGAAAGTTAAACTTGGATTCCTTACACTGATATCCTTTATAAACAATAGCCTAAAAAATTTTAACTTACATTGTGTGTCCTGTATCATTGTCAGGATTCCATTCTGGGTAGCTTTAAAAAGATCAGAAAATTAATTTTAAAATAAAAACATTCTTTTCACAAAGTAGCATCCCAAGTCTTTAAAAAAAGAGATAATTTATTAGCAAAGTTATTTGATAATCTATATTTCAAAAGCTTATAACATATTTCAAAAAGAACTTCAGATACCGAATGCTTTGGAATAAACCCAGTGCTTGTAAATTTAAATGATGCATGTTGAAATGTTCTTTTACTTGTTAAATTATAAGCAGGGAAAATGCTGCACAAGGAAATTAGAAAGCAGGGTATATAAAGAAAACAAAACCAACCTCCCCCCAAAACAAAAACTAAAATTAGTTTCCTTCTCCCATATTAGGTATCAGAATAGAGTTAAGCTGTGGCACCAGAAAGGATAGCCACCAAAGGATAGCCACCAAGAGTTAGGTATGTATGGATAATAGCTACTGTAGCAGGCAGTTTCTTTTCATTTCAATGTAGCAGCCTAAATTCAGAATGAAAGCCATGTATGTCAAAAGCTTTCCATGAGGAAACTGTCTTTCTAGTCATTTTCAATTATTTCTCTCTATTTTTTGTTCTATGTATTTATTATTAGCTATTAATAAAGTTCTAACATATGTTTTGATTACCAACCACTATCTTTTCATTAATTCTATTAAAATTTATTTCTTCATTAACAGGTCAATGTGTATTTACCCTAGAAATTAAAAATCAAGTAACAAAGCATCATTGTACCTATTATTAACATATAGTTTATCTGAAATTAAACATGATCAATTATGTGATAGTAAAAGTAAAAGATGAACTTCCCCAAACCAATAATGGCCATTTCTGATTCACAATAAGGATGCTTTATACATATTTCAAATTCCTACATTTCAAGAAGAAGCTGGCATCGACGACTGTGACTTGCTCCATTGATATGTTGACTCCACTCCTGCAGCAAAGTAAATTAGGAGAATTAACAAATATTAAATGCTAACATTTTCATATGAACCATTAATACATATGCAGTATCGGGTTATACAACAATTCCTCATTTATTAAGTCACAATGGTTTTTAAGTTAAAACCATTTCTGAGTCCTTGAAGCTTGATCCTGCCCTCATATACTCTATGCACATTCTTGGAAAAACTGGATTAACTTGGTCAACATAAGTGAGACCTAACAGTGGGAAGATGTAGATAGTAAAGATCAAGGTCACCTGAGCACAGTAATTGCTGTGGAGCAATCTCAAGAATCCACTATTTTTGGAATGGATTATTTTATAAAAATGTATTACAAAATAGCCACATACCTAGATTTCTAGAAAATGTGTGTGAATAATTAAAATAGAATCTTTAATTTCACCTAGCTTTTTAGGCAAATTCCAAGTATACTACACTATACTTTTTAGTATAGTGAAAACAACAACAACAACAACAAAAAAAAAAAAAACCACTGTAAAAAAAACAGGCCAACTCGACTTCTGTGGTCATAATCAAGCATTGGGTTGAGACTAGGACCACGATCAAAATTATCTCTTCTAAAGTGCCCGAATTTCCCTAAAATAGAATGAAATTTAAGGAGTGCCTTTTTCCAAATTTTAAGGAAGGAAACAATGTATTCCATCAGTTTTTTTTTGTTTGTTTTAGTTTAAAATAGAAGGCATTAATTAAATTTATTTTGCTCCAAATTAATTTATTTTCCTTTCCCTAAGAAAAATATCCAGTTAACTTTTTCTCCAATTAGGAAAGGTGGGCTTTGCCATCAAAATGCCTTGATTTATTTCCTAAAGTACAATATAACTAAATATGTCTAAGTCTAAATTATTTAAATTCATTGTAATAAAATTCCCCTACAGCGGTTTAAAAAAAACAAAAATAAAGGTAAACTATCTGAACATTGCCAAGTATATCTCTTATCCTGCACTGTTTTAAAAATCCACATTGTTTTACAAGTAGTTTTGATTTTTCGCAAATTTCCACAAATCGAGACAATTTCTAAAATAGCCACTTTTCTTGAAAATAGAATATAAATATGGTCAGGCAATGTGTTTTTGCTCCAACAAGGGGATTAGAGCCTCAACTAAAAGAAATATTACACAATTTGATTTTTACAAAGGCTCAAAATGGCATTTTATAAATTGGACCGTAATTTTGATTTATATTACAACAGTTCATGTATAATTCATGCTAAGAAAATTAATTAAAACCCTGTGAAAGAACTAAAATGGAACATATCCAAACAAAATAGCACTGAGAATGTGAGATGCTATCGATTATTATTCTTAGTATCTGTGAAAACTAGACTGTCTTTCAAAAGCAATAGCTAATAGGAAGTTGAGAGACTTCCATAGTTGTTATACACAGAGTTGGGCTAACGGTTCTACTTGCAACACAATAGACTATTTCTGAAAGCCATTTTAAAAATAGCTGCAAGCAAGAGGCGCCATAGGTAAATTCACAAATTCAGAAAAGGGACTAAACGAATCCATCAACCTAAAGAATTTCAGAACAACTTGAGATTCATTACAACTATCTATCCTTAAGAAGCAGTGTTTTAGAAAAAGAATAAATGTTATCCTATTAACCATGCTTCTGAATTATAGGAAATGGAAGGGCACAGAGTCGAAAAGAAATTAAATCCAATCCCACATGCCCCCTAAATTTCAAGTTTATGGTAAAAATGTGGCTGGTCTTTCAAGTACTAGAAAGAAGGTCAAGATCAGAAAATTAGTCATGTATCTCCCAACCCATCCATTATTAATCAGCTCCACTGTACCTAATCTCTTGATGTCCAGTTTAAAATGAAGACTAAGAATCCAATGATTTAAAAAAAAAAAAAAAAAAAAAAAAAAAACCCTCCTGGATTCTATTCTGACAAAATTCCTACATGAGATAAAGAATAGGGAGGGATTCACTTTTTGAATTTACAAGTTAGTGGGGGTAGGGAACCCTACACTCACACTTAACATCTTTCAAGTATCTTTTTTGTTTTCTGAGGCAGGGTCATAGACAGCCTTTTGAGTACTAAGATGAAAGACATGACACCAGACTACGAGATATCTAAGTTTTATAATAATCATTCTGGAAGTACTTCCTAAGTGGCAGAATAGATGTAATTTAAAGACCTAAGTAATACTAGAAGGAAAAAAAAAAAAAAAATAGAAATTCAAGTAATAAGACAAAAAAGCTGCAGGGGGCAATTTTCTTTAAATGAAAGGAACTTGAAATAAGTTTGAGATTGTATAGATATGCTACTTGATGTTCTAAAATAACCTAGGAAAAAACTCAAAGACCACTACTTAAAAATCACCAAAAAATATAAAATAAGGGCACTCCATCATGACAAGCCACATCATGCTTTTCACTTGAACTTTATATAATGTAGGTCATTTAACATTACCTAAGTGAAAACAACAGATTTTCCAAGTTATGCAGTGATACTAGAGAGCAGGATACTTTGTTTTTAATTGTCTACATCCACCACAGGAATATCTTAAAATGTCACATCTGTATCTATTAACAGTTCAATGCTGAAGTATTTACTTTTTTAATGAAACAGATACAGAGAAAACATCAGATAAGTCTAGGCAGAGAAAATCCAAGTGCTTAAATTTGTTCCAATTGGTCTAACCTACAAACACAAATTTTATATACCCAATGGTTAAGCAAAAGTTCTCTGAAACAGTTGCTAAATATACCTAATATGTTGAAGAATATGCAAACTAGAACCTAAGCATTTTTATAAGCTAAAATTACTCCTTAATCCAAAGTGTCAAGTCTTTCAAACTGTTCTTTTGTTAGTTTAGATTCATTTAACTTATTAGCCTTGTAGTAAAACTTGAAGAAAAAAAATCTTATACAAAATAGAAACTTTTATCTCACAAATTCTTTTATGGTTCCTTTTTGTGTTCCTTTCTTCCAACAGCAAAGATGTGCAGTTCTTTAAGATCACTTTCATTTGGTCACTGTAATTATTTTCCTTGGACTTTACAGATCTTTTCTGAGAACACCAGTCATATAATTTCTGCTATATTTCTTGGTAAAGAGGTTAAGAAGTAACATAGGAAAAGCTGGAGTCAATCAAATTTAATGATCTTTTTTCGTTGCTTTAATTTACACCAGACTAAATCTTGTAGTACAGGATTAAAAACAATAAATTCCATGGCATAGTATAGCTAACAAATTCAGAAAAATAAAAATGAATAACAAATAAGATTTGTTGATTCTTTTGAGCTCCAGGTTCTATTTCTTTGTTGAGAGGGTCTCACAATGAAGCCCTGACTGGCCTGGAACTTAGAATGTAGATCAGGCTAGCCTCTGTCTCCCAGTGCTGGGATTACAGGTGTGAGCTACCAGGCCCAGTGGTTCTGTTTCTTCAACAAACCTAACTTTGCCTTTTATATTAACTTATTTGACGTGAAACAAAAGATTAAAAGGTAAAAATGCTAAGATCTAATAGAAAATGGAATAAAAAAAATTCAACAGGGTCTAGTGGATTAAAAAGAAGAAACACACTAAAAAGTGAAGTTAAAAGAAAGTGATATGAAAAGAAAATGTTCCAGATGTTGCTGTAAAGAAAAACCCTTTAACAGTGACCATAAAAAAATACATACATATATATACATATTTATCAATCTCATGGTAGCACTTATTCCAGTTAGATAAGCTACTCCAAAGCACATCAGGAAAAATGGATGTTCATAGATTACAGGTCAAGCTAGTGGGGGTGCTGCACCATTGACTTTATTAAGTCAACTGCAATATATACTGAAAAATAGAATTTTAAAAACTCCAATGAGAATGAGTAACACTGAAAAAGTTGAAAGAGAAGGACATTTAAAAGGGCATTTTGAAAAGGTTTCCATTTTGCCAGATGTGATAATTAAAGGAGAATTAGGCTTGTTCTCCCTGCCACCCCATGACTATCCCAGAAGTACAATAAGCCTAAGTCAGAAAAAGAATTTTCTTACAAGGAACACAGAGCAGGATAATGTAGTAAACGATTTATCCAAAGTCTCTAAAGGGACAGATGCAATAAACATGGGATAATAAAAAGTGAACTTTGAAGTATGTTTAAGGAAGTTGTGGAAACGGAGAAAAAAAAATGATGAAAAATTTCAGTCATAGTATGAGAGTTTGTGTTAAAGGGAAATTAAAAAGGAAGAATGAACTAATCTAAAATATGAAACATACTGAAACACACACCAGGGCTCTACATTAACTTTCCCTATAGCCACAGATAAGGAAAAAGGAGAATTGCACAAGAATATATCTTTGACTACATACAAATCAGCAATCAAGACAGATGGAAAGCTGAAATCTAGCATCCTAAATGGCAAAGCACAGTGACTTCGGAAAAAAAATGCTTATTTCAACAAAGCAGACCAGGTGGGAAAAAAGCCTGCTTAAATATGATTAAGAAGAACATACTGATGCCAAAAAACAACAAGATAATCCCAGTGGATGACAGCTTTGTGGCTAGAAGTATTCTAGGTAGATTGTATTAATGTAAAGCCCTGGTTTATATTGCTCAAAAACAATTACCTTCCAAATAAAGTGTTCTCAAAAGTATAACAATTCTTGACCAACTCAATGTCATCAGACTACAGAATTAGAGTAAAAGATATAGGTAAATACAGAATAGGCACTACAATGTAAAAGAAATTAGAAGCATCTGTTGCTTTAACTCACCTTATTAGAATGAACTGGCAAATCACATATAGAGCACAGATGGGGATAACCCTTCGGTAAGAGTCCATGGAAGTCTTCAATATTGCTACTTGGAGGAGCGCCCCTCTTTTTCTCAAAGAGAGATCTCTCTTGTAAGGGGCCAGGACCACGTCCCATTCTCTCATACTCACTGTCAAATTTATGATAGTTATGCGAGGTCTCACCAAAAAAAGAATCATCCCTACACCTTTCTCCATCTCTTAATCTGTCATCTTCATAATCCATTCTGTCATAATAACCAGATTCTTGAGAACGACTTCCATGGTCATAATCAAGCACTGGGTTGAGACTAGGACCACGATCATCAAAGCTATCTCTTCTAAAGTGCCTTTTTTCTTCCCAATCATCCCTAGGTACTCTGTATGGTGGCTCCCGTGTAGCAGATCTGCCATCTCTACCATAACTCAATGTAGGGCCTTCTTCAGTTCTCCTCCTTTTAAGCTGTAGAAGGATTTGGGGCAAGTTCTCAGGAGTAATCTTGTCCTCTGGATAGCGACTCAGTTCATCTAAGTCTCTAGCAGAAAGACCAAAGCTGGCCAAAATATTACTGGCCTGGTCTGCATCTCCACGGTGTTGAGAAGACAAAGGGAGTGGACCTCTACTTCCAATGTTAAATATAGACTGCAAATTATGGGAAGAAGTACTAGCAGAAGACAGTGCGCTATGAGCTCCTTGTTGATTCAATGAAGAACTCATTCCAAGATTCATTAAACTAGCAAGGCGTGCAGTACCCTGGTTCATCCTTCCAAGAGATGCTGGCATACTTAAAGACTGGGTAGCAGCAGCAAGAAGGCCTATTCCTGCTGCAGACAGGTCACGCCCATGACCCTGTGAGTCCCTACCGAGAGATGACTGCTGGAATGACTTGGACATTGTAGAACTATCTCTTGTCTATTTTACAGATCAAAAAAAAATTTTTTTAAAAGACGGCCAAAAAGAAAGCTCAAACTAGAAAGCTAGGTTAACTTTGCTTCAAAAATGGTAACGCCAAGAAAAAGGATCAATAAGGACTGTAGAATCTTCTTCAAGCTGAGAACCAGCAGACAACTCTGTAGAAAAATAAGCAGTTTTAGTCATAAATCCCTTTACGTAGATGCCGTTTTTTTTAAGAAAAAACTTACGCATCATGTTGATTTAAAAAAACCACTTAAGATCTCAAACTTACAAGGAATTCATTACATATCTTAAACAGATTCCAGATGTATGCAGAGCCTGCATATAGATATTTAAAAAGTAGCTTTTCATGCTGTAATTTAACAAAGGGAATTTCATATTGGGCTTAAAAACATTTACATCCAAGGCCTAGATGTTTGGGTGCATCAAAATTTCAGTGAAAACATAGATGGATTTCTTCTTTTAGAAGAATAAAAACATACTGTAGAGTATGATGCTTAAGTTCTAGAAGACTAAAAAAAAAAAAAAAAAAAAATCAAAATTAAAAAAAAAAAAAAAAAAAAGAAAAAGTCAGCAAGTCAAAGATGAACCAGTTGTATTCTGCTTTAGGAAATGAGACCTATTATCACTTTCAGAAAGAACCAAGTAAAATAATGAGTAAGTGAAGCTTTGGGTGTCAAGTACCTGAGGTAAGATCAAAGATCAAGTAACAATTGAGACCTTTATGCAGCAAAATTAACTGGAGGTGAAGACAGATGTGAAGAAAAACAAGTAATTTCCTACAATTTTGAGGATTTCTACCCAAATTTAAGCCACACAACTAACTGCCTTCTTACTGACCATACCAGGCAGTGCTTATTTGATATCTACTCTTCCAAGGTAAGGAGAACAATTTTGGTCAGTATAGAAACAGACCTACCAAGAAAATAAAAACCCAGGTACAGGAAATACAGGTGATTTAAAGAAGGGAAACAACCCCAAGTTAGGACCTATTATTGTTCAATGTTCAGGACTGTAACATCTCTAGAATTCAAAGCACATAAATGAAATCTAAGACCTTGTTAACAGATTTCTGCAAACTCTTCACAAGAATAGCCCAATAGCTTGAAAACTTTTAATTCTGATTATGATCCTTCAAGATGTGTTTCTGGATGAAACATAATAAATCATTAGCAGTGCATCTCAAAAACTGTTACAAGAGTGTGCAAAGTATCAACACGATTCCTATAAAGCATTAATGAAAAGACGTAATACAACCAATGTTTTCTGTAAGACAATTTTATAATCACAATCACATACAAGATAAATCTGATCAATTCGCCACACTTCTACTATGATGCATTGCTTTTCCAGTTTTGTGTTTGATTAGCCATCCACCTAAGCATTGTAGTTTAATAAATTACACTAAAACCCAGAAAATATCCAATAGTTAAAAGTCAAAAGTCAATCATAGGATCAATTCCATCAATGATAGATTAAGGCAAGGATACTGGACGAACACAGTGGGAGGAAGAATAAAAAAAAAAAAAAGTTACAGGCAAGAAAGATTTGTACTAGATTTAAAAAAAAAAAAGACACAAATGCTATCAGTGGTAGCTGGAATTACAGATGATTTTGTACACCAAGAAAGATGAATTTGAGAAAAGACACCAAGGAAACTAATTCTAGACAAGATCCACTTATGTAATCTACTTAAGCTTTAAGGTAAGATTAATGAAGAGAAGAGTTAGTGAACAGTGGATGAAGGGCTTTTTTTAAAATAGCATCTTTAAAATGCCATACAGGACATCAGTTTATGTACTTTGTACATTGGTATTAATTTGATATTAATGTCTACATTTTATATATACTATTTTTTACAAGTCATTTTAAAACATTAGTTAATATTTAATCACACTTTGACATTCATGTTACAGCCAAAGCCTTTTATTATTCAAAAGCCTGTCTTTTGAAAAATCTATTCCTATTCCAAGAAATAGTATTTTATTATGCAAAAAATTTTCAATTACCATATTTTAAGGAAAGAATCATTAAATTACAGAGACATCAATTACATTTGTGTACTTTACACAGAAACAGTGGATCTCAAAAACTAAGCTAAGGTAAAAAGATAATTTAAAAGACAAAACAGAAAATGGATGTTAGAAAAACTCAGAAAAGGGAGGACAAACAATATAAATCCCATGACAAGGTGCAATTCACAAGAACCACCTTCTGATATACTTTATTTCAACTTAAAATGCAGCTACACACAACACTAAAATAACATAACTGCAGAAAAGAACTTAAGTTGAATTTTTAATACAAAAAAAAAAAAAAAAAAAAAAAAAAAAAAAAAAAAAAAAAAACTGCCATGTCCCAGACTCCCACTCTGGGCCAGTAGTGTACATAAATATAATCTCAGTGTTTTGGAAGCCAAGGCAGGAGGCCTTGTTGTGAGTTTGAGGCTACACACAAATTCTAAGACATCTTGGATGGAACCCTGCGTCAGAAAAAAAAAGTGTGTAATGGAATAACCAAGAGAAATCAAGCATGAAAGCATTACTTAGAAAATATGAAAACGGAGCCACTAGCAATGAACCTAAGACATAAAAGCCATTTTTAAAGGGTTCATTCCCATGGGATTTGCTGCTCATTAGTAAAGTTATTGTTAATATTGAACTACTTCATTACTAAACATTTATTAAAAAAAAAAAATCAAGGGCTGGGGCACATCTAGATGGCTCACTGGGTAAAAAGGCCCTTGCCCAGAAAGACCAGTGACACAATTTTGATCTCTGGGACAGAGGTTTGAGAACCACACAGAATTGTCTTCTTGTGGCATGTATTGCTCCATATCCTTGTTATGGCATGTGACCTACCCAATAATAAGTAAACAACATTTACTTTTTAAAATTAGGAGGTTGATATTGCTCAAGATATTGCCCAATGAGTGTTTTAAAACCCTGGAATAGTGTCACATGATTTTTATCCTAGCATAAGGTGTACTGTCCCAGCTTGGCTTCAAACTCAAGATGCTTCTGCTTACACTTCCAGAACAATGGCAGAGTGGAGGCAAAAGAGTGTGAGTGCAAGGGCATTTTCAACTACAAAATTTTTGAAGATGCCTGGCTCTCTTCAGAGACTGAACCTAAGAATGTAGTATCAAAATACAATTTACCCATAAATTCTAAATGCCCATTCATGAGTGCACAATCTTCTCTCAATACACAAAGCATCCCCTATCACAAAAACCAAGAAAACAAAAGAACCTTACCAACATAACCTATAATTTCATTTTTAAGTAGTTGGGAAGGGGAATAGAATAGTTCAATGGAACACTTGCCTACTTAGTAGTATTCGTGAGAGGTTTTGAGTTCAACTGCCAGCACCACACAGAAATAAATGTAATTTACTAGAATATGAAAATCAATTTAAAATTTATTTTATACTTGGGAAAAAAAGAGGTAGGAGTCTAGTCTACAGAGTGTAGAGCTACATGGTTAGACCCTGTCTTAAAACAAAAAAATCCAATTTATTTTGTATGTGTGGGTCAGTATAGCTTGCAGGAATCAGTATTCTCTTTCCACCACTCGGAGTCCTGGGAATTAAACTAAGGATATCAAGTTTAGCTGAAAGCATCTTAACCCAATAAAAAATTTAGCTAATTTATTTAAATATATATTTACATATAGAACCTCCGACTTAATCGATTTAAAAACACAACTTCCCTCCCTGAATATTTTTTATTTTTATTATTATTGGAAACAGTTTCTTTGTGTAACAGCTCCAGCTGTCCTGGAACTTGCTCTGTAGACCAGGCTGGCCCCAAACTCAAGTGATTCACCTGCCTCTGCCTCCCAAGTGCTGGACTAAGGGTGTGCACTGCCATTGCCAGTTTTAAATATTATTAGATTTCTTTTAACTCAAAATAATATTAAGTCTAGATGGACAGCTCAGTCAGTAAAGTACTTGCCTTTCAATGCAACAACCAGATCAATTCCTAGAACCAGAGTTTAAAAAATGGAATATTGATAGGCATTTATAATCACTGTACTGGGGAGGTAGAGACAGGAAGAGATATCTTTAGGGCTTGCTTGGCCAACTATTACAGTCTAATTGGTGACCTCAGATCAAATGAGATCTGATCTCAAAAAAGATGGATGACATTCCTGTGGGCATGTGGTTTTGCCCTATACATCTCACACACTGAAAAAAGAGACAACTAAAGTATGTCAGAAAAGAAAAACACTTAAAAGTTATCTATTATTGCCACATCTTGAGTTCTGCTCTCAATTATATAATCAAAAATGAAACAAGTTTTCACGTGGAAGCTGGGATATAGATCACTGTTGGAGCACCTAATGTGTAAGGTCCCAGGATCAATCCTTAGAATCACAAAAATAATTTTTTTTTTAAAAAAAATCTGTCACTTATTAAAACTTACCAACATAATAGGGCTAGAGATGACTTAATGGGTAAAACTGCAAGCAGAAGCAGAAGCACCTGTAATCCCTCCTACAGAGAAGAATGCCTGAAGATAGAAGGCCAGCTAGCCTGGAGTGGAGTACAAAGGGGTACGATTATGCCTCAAACATGGTAGAGGGTCCATACATGTGATCTTGCATTTGCTACCACACACACAAATACCATTAAACTATATAGTAAGACCCCATTTCCAAAACAACCAACTAACCCAGAAACACTATTTCTAACTTGCTCCTGAGTCACATAATCACACTTAAGACATAAACAGCTGAGTACCTATAGAAATTCTTTTGGAGGATGAGTCATACTATACATTCCAGATAGCCTTAGTGGTAAACTCCAAAGTCTGAAATCTTCCCACACCATTTCAATTTGAGAAGTTATGTATAAAATCCCTTAAAGACTACACATCTACAATTTTCTCAATTACAGCTTCTTTCTGTTCTACTTTTAGTGATCTATAGTTTTCCACACAGTTTTTTTTTTTTTTTTTTAAATTAAGGATTTCAGAATAGCTGGGTGTAGTGCTGCATGCCTCTAATCCCACTGCTGGGCAGGTGGCAGTCTGATCTACACAACAAGACCCAGTTTAAAAAAAAAAAAAAATTTCAGAACAAAAAAGAACATATTCTGTACATCCTAAGAACATCTAACAAATGATTATCTAATACCTGATCTTATTAACACAAAAGTATTAGGTTTTTTTTTTTTGGTCACTTCTGAATATTACATTTTCCAGACTTATGTTAGAAGCTGGTTTACGTCTACCTTAATTATTCTTAAAAATGTATGAGATGCTAAAAACCACAAGAATCTGATCTGATAAGGACTTCTAACATTTATATATACATACTCATTTTTTGCTCATTATAAAAGCAAATGGAAGCAGATTTAGTGGTTGTCTTAGCATTTGGGAGAAAGAGGCAGGAAAATGGAGAGTTGGAGGCCAGCCTGAGTTTTATTTATTTATTTATTTATTTATTTATTTATTTATATGTGTGTGTGCGCCAAGACCATGATCCAACATAAAACAAACAGTAAATTTTAAAAAATTACCAGAGCAGGATGTTGATGGCACACGCCTTTAATCCCAGCACTTGGGAGGCAGAGGCACACTGATCTCCATAAATTTGAGGGCACCCTGGTCTATAGAGCAAATTCCAGGCAAGCAATAGAGAAACCCTGTCTTGAAAAAACAAAACCAAAAATAAATAAATAAAATTATCAGGCAGGAAATATAAACTGACCTTCAGAGAAATCATTTTTAGGTACATAAATATATGTACTTAATACTCTGTCGGGTGTATGGTGAACACCTTTAAGCCCAGCATTCAGGAGGCAGAGGCTTGGTCCTCTGCCTGATCTACATATCATGTTCCAAAGAAAACCTGTCTCAAAACAAAAAAAGATTTAATACTCTCTTCTATCACAGCACCCATGTGAACCATGATAATTCTAAAAGGTTAAGATATTACTGTTGCATTCCTGTTTTTAAATTTTTACCACCTTATTATTTTTGTTTAAAAGCATCAGGTAAAAAGTTAAATATTTCCAAATTAGTTCATATTTAAATGCTTCCTACATAAAAGTTGTATGTAATTGATGAGGAAGTATATGAAAGCTACCTCCTATGGGGATAGGAAGTCTAAACTAAGTACTTAGGAAATGTAAACTTAAAGCACCTCAGCACTAAACCCGCTGGGTAAATGCTAGGTTTTTTAAAAAAGGATTATATAACCAACCAGAAGAATCTTCTTGCAGTACTTAGGCGACATCTAATTTTTAGTTTGTAAAAACATTTAAGTACAAAGGCAACCTTGTGGGTTTTTTCAATGTAACTTTCCCCTCCCTTCTAGATTCCTAAGATACTAATGTAAAGAAGTTATGAAGATAACTGGGCGTGGTGGCACAAGCCTGTAGGTGATCCAGCTCTAGGGATGCTGTAGACAAGTAGATATGTAGTTCCTCCAGAGACCTCAAAAGAAAGCTACATAATGCTGGAGTGATTTAGCTGTTAGTAAAATAATATTTTGACACAATCTTGATGCTACCAAGACTGGCCCCTATGTCTGGACAATTCTTGGTCTGTTTTGGTCTCTTGAGAGCCGCTATGCGTCACTAAGCCCAACAATTAGTAGCTTTTCAACACCTATGGGAAACTATAATCAAATCTAAATTTACCTGGGCGAAGCGTGTTGCACCGACTGACAACTTAAGTCGACTGAAATACGCAACACGCAGTTACCAACACACACACAAAAATCCATGATTACTTCCTATGAAATCAGCGACACAAAAATCTCCGAGCACCAGAAAGACTAGAAATTTTAAGAATCACAACTGTTCTAGAAACGTCTAGATGAGTAACTGTAACCTACCCGATACAGAAATATCCCACAGAAGGGACTAATCCACTAGTCAGTCACAGAACAGGGGAAGCGCCAAAGGGACGAGGAACACCTACGGTAAAAGGGAAACAAAAGCACGGCACGGCACGGCACGGCACTAGCAGTGAACAGAAAGATTGAAGGACTACAACACGGTCCTCCAAACCCTTTGTCTGAAAACCGGAAGGTCTCACAACACACGGTCCTGTCCAGAGGAACCTGGACTATTTTGATAGAAAAATGTGAGGCGACTGACTAAACACGCAAGCATTCCACCTCGTAACACGCAGAAAGCTGTGCCCAAGAGGCTACAATACAAAACCCAAGCGTTAACTTTTCATTTTCGGCCATTTTTACGCAGCTGGGGGGCGGGGGGTGGGGAGGAATTGTTCCAGATGTCTGGCTAAAATCGCGCGCCGGCGAAGGACGCGGGAGTCTCGGGACTCGGGCAACAAGAAGCGATGGGCGAGGAACGGCGAGGCTACCGACGCCAGGGGAAGAAACGTTGGCCAAGACACGCAAGCTTTCCGCACCCTACGAAGCCTCCATTTTGGGCAGCCTTTCTGAGGAAAAGCGGCACACGCACTGCTTCTCCGGGACTCGCGCTCCCACGGCCTTGGCTACGCGTCACGTCCTCCCCAAACGGCAGGCCCCAGCGGGCGGCCGGCCGCTCCCCCGGGCCCAACGCTCCTCCCTCCTCCTCCTCCTCCGAGCCGCGGCCCGCGTGTAACGGGCCCGTCCCGCCCCCGCCCCCGCAGGTCCAGGGCGCGGGGCGCTCGGCCGAGAAGCAAACCTCCGGACCCCCGGCTCTCCCGCGCCATCCCGGGCGTCGGCTGCCCGCGCGTCCTCCGGCACGACCGCTCGCCGCCGCCGCCCGAGGAGGCAGGCCGCGCCGCCACCGCACTCCTAACATGGCGGCCGCCGCTCGGCCGGCTCACATACGCAGCGCCCAAGGAGGCGGCACGGGCGAGCGGGAGCGAGCGAGGACGGCGCGCCGCCAGCTCCCCACAGCCCCGGGCCCGGCGGCCGCCCCGCTCTCGGCGGCCGCCGACGGCCCCGGCCACCCGCCCGGACTCTTACCCGCTTCACGCCTACCTTAGGGGAAGGGAGAGGGAAAAGGAGAGAGACCTCTCTCAGCGAGCGGGACGCGGAGGCTCCCACAATCCCCCGCAGCAACGGCGCTGGCAGGAGGTGGCGACGGAACGAGAGGCTGCTCTCGCGAGAGCTCACGTTCCCACCCCCGCCCCAGTTCCAGCTCGGCACGCGCTAGGCCCCTCCCCCGCGCGGGGCGAGTACCCGACACGCGCGGCCAGCGTTGTTCTCTCAGGCCGAGGGCGTCTCCCTCCCCCCCGAGAAGGCGGGAAAAGCGGCCCGAGCCTGCTTTGCATTCCAACACCTAAATAATGCCGCAACAGCTAGAAAACGCAGCGGGCACTTCTATACTCTCCGATTTATCGGGTGAGGATCTGTGCCAGAGGGAACCAGCTGTTTAGCTAGAAACTCCTGTACCATAAAATTATGTGGTATAGCACAGTTCGACTCTTAAAAAAGGCTTTAGGAAAACAAATAATGCTTAATTTATCCGCTCTGGAAAGGTCTCTGCAGAGGCCAAACACTGACAGGACTCCCTGGAGCTGGAGTTAAGAGGAGGCTGTAAAGTACTTGACTTGGATAATGGCAATAGACCAGCCCTCTGAATTGCAAAACTCCCTGAGTCTTCTGCTTTGATGTAAAGAGTCCATCCTCAAAGTGTTAAATGCTAATTACACATAACCTGACAAGTGAAAAAAAAAAAACAAATCAAAACCAACTCTCAGGCTCAGTTTATTTTTTCAACAGTGACAAACGCAACCTTTGTCCTCATGGACAATTGAAACCAAAATGTGCATAAATTTAGCAAGACGAATAATCTGAAGAATGAGAAAGCTAGCATCTGGTTAGGAAAGCCCAAAGAACAAAGTAATCTCAGGTATTAGAATAAAATGGGTAAAAACATTGATTTTGTAGGTAAATTGCAAAAAAGACTGAGGTTGAGCGGGAATGGCAAATGGAGATGCCGAATCCTAGCTATTAATATGGTGTGGCACACATCAGGGATGGCTAAGAATGAAGGCCAGAAAGTAGGTGATCAGCCTGGAACAGATATGTTCTTTTCAATGCCAAGCTGACTACAGAGAAACCCCGTCAAGAAAAACAACCAAAAAGCCCACATTAATTAGGGTAGCTAATGCCTGCAACCCTAATTGAGGCAAGTTCAAGAGCAGATGGCTTCTGCCCCGACTGTTGGGAGTAAGGGCATGTGCCCCTGCTGACCAGCTAATTAATTTTTTAATGTTTGAGGGAAAGAAACTTTTGACAGGAACATGTGGTCTCGGGCTGGCACAGCTGGTAGGTTACCTGATCCTCAACACAACATAATTTGAGCAGTGCTTACACACCTTCAAGTCAGGGCAGACTTGAAGTCACTATATACCAAGGTACAGGTCAGTTTTGGCTAGAGAACATGTCACAAAATAAGTCACAAAAATTTTGCATTTAACTGTCAATCTTTAATACAGTCTACCACGAAATGTTTCACAAACAGTAAGGTTCTTCCCTCTCGGAGTTTTCATCTGGTACTTTTGTCCACTGTCATTTAACGTTTGATCCTGGGTTCAATCCAACAATGGGTAAAAATGTGTTTTGTATTAAGCAGCTTAAACTAAGCGCAGATTCACCATGCTTGTAATTGCAGCACTTTGCCACATGGCTTATCTTTTTTCAAAAAGACAAAAAAGCAGCCAGAGATGGCTTGGCAGAAGTATATAGTGTTCCTGTGGAAAGCCAAAGTTCAGTTTCCAGATGTGCACAGATGCCCTAGGGGACACCTCCCACACTCTGTACTCACATGCACATAACCATGAAAACCTAAGTCTATATTATATAAATATAACCTTTAAAATGAAGGATCCATTACCTTGAAGTTTAAAGGCAGTAAACAGTTTTGGTTAAGCAAACGTTTGGTCCTGTATTCCATCTCCAACAACTCTCCACTAAGAAATTAACTTTACTGTTATGTGGTCCCAGAGTCTTCTACCCTTTCTCAATGCCAGTCAACAGGACTCTGTGGAAGAGTCTCACCAGTAACCAACCACCAGGGTGAATGGAGCCAGGTGGCTATTGACGGTCATTGTGTCTTCCTCCTCCAAATGCTGGGATTAGACATGAATACTGCCCAGAAACTAGACAATTATGAGACGGTAACCTGTTTGTTACCCAAGAAAGAACCAGGAGCACAGAATGTACCTCTCACACAATTGTTTGCTTTCTCTTTCAGGATAATTTTTAAGTAGGGTAGCACCAAATTGAGAAACACAATTTAGCAAATTGATTCATTGTAGGTGTTCCTACACATCAGTGAGGGCAAGGATGCTACTAGCCGAAAATCTCAAGTATTAGTCCATTAACTTAGTGAAATTGTTTTCCTAAGAGTTCACAGTTCCATTAACAGGAACTGCTCACAACTCTCAGGAGTCATTTCCACTCTTTTCAAGTCCTTAATTAGTTGCTCTTACCCTGTTCATTTCCTCTGTGTAAATTCCTAGGCACTGGAGAGGCCTTTTTGTGTTCCTTTGTGACCTGAAGAATTTATCCCCCTGGGTTTTGTTTCTAATTATAATGCAAGACCTGGCCCAACATTTCAAGAAATATCTAATGTTACTTGATTAAACCCAGTGACAAAGTAATGAATGGCCATCAATGGGAACACTATAGCTGGTTTTTTTTTTTTAAAGACAAAATTTCTCCTGTTAACCTTATCTCTCCTGGATCTTGCCCAGGCTGGTCTCAGTGCCCAGGTCTATTTGCTTCTGCCTACTTATTTACACATTCATTTTAATTTAAAGAGACCCACAACCTGAAACTTAATCAGAATAATTTACAACATGGTGGCTCACAAACATCTTAACTCTAGTTTTAGGGGATCCATTGGCCTGATTTAATGGGCACTAGGCATGCAGAAGGCACATATTAATTAACACATAAAAGAAATGTAAATCTCAAAGCCTTTTATTTTTATGTGAACAGGTGTTTTGCCTGCTTGTATGCCTGTATACTACATAGCCCATCAGATCCCCTGGGACTAGAGTTAAATGATGGTTGTGAACCACCCTGTGGATACTGGGGATTAAAGAAGACTCTTGAGAAAGCACTCCAGCCCCTAAAAAAAATTAAAGCTTTTGTTAATGCTTTAATTCATCTTGAATTTATCAGGATATAAAGGACAACTGGGATAAGTAGTGACTAATTAACTTCATATCAACTAAGAAATACCATTATTTTAATTGTATTATTTGTGTCACTGAAACCTCTTGGGTCTATGAATACATGCATTAGTAGTCATAATATTATCCATTTTCAAGAAATACCAGAGGAACCTCTGCGCTCATGGGTATCACTACCTGCAGCCAGGAAGGCAACCTGCAGTCTAAGACTCAAAACCCTATAGAAAGGACAGGAAGAAATTGTTTAATGGTAGAAAAAGAATGAACTCAAGCATTGAATAGCATAATCATAAAATGCAGATACAAAAATCCCTGTGGGGGGGCATGGTGGTTCCTACCAATTATCAGACTGCTTGCAGAGAAGTTACTGTTAAACAGTAAATTTTAAGACTAATCTTGAGCTGGGCGGTGGTGGCAGCACACTCTCCGTCCCACCACTCAGGAGCCAGGCTGATCTCTGAGTTCAAGATTAGCCTGGTCTACAAGAGCTAGTTCCAGAACAGCCTTCAAAACCAGAGAAACTCTCTCGGAAAAAAAAAACCCACTAACTTTAGTTACACAACACTGTCTCAAAAAAGTGGTATAAACCAGAGGTAACATCTGTAAGCCCCTAACTCAAGAGGCAGGATCTACCAGGTGCACTTCAGAGATGGATAAGCCAAGGTCTCACACTTAGGAACTGTCTTGGGCTTGGACAGATGCCGTCAGCTGTTAATCTTGCTGGTCCTCTAGAACTCCTAGTTCTAGGCAAATCATGGCAGGGAATTCAAACTCTTCTGCCCTCCAAGGGATCTACACACACATGTCATACACATCCTTGTTTAACTGTCTCCTTTAAGATTATAAAGAGAATATGATAGAAGACATGTAAAGTCCATATAAATCCAAAAATAAGGAGGATTTTTCTTCCTTCTGGATAATTTAGCGACCTCATTCTTTTCAGATAAGAAATACAAACAAGTTTGGCATGTGTTTCATGACTAACTCCATCACACAGGAGGCTGATCCAGGAGGTCACCTGGTTTGAGCTTGGCCTGGGTTAAGCTATCTTAATAAAAGTGAAAGTACATTGATACTGTGATTACATTTGGTTATATGCCAACAATAAAAGTTTCAATGAAATTCCAATCTCAGTGTTTATCATGTAAGTTTTATTGGAATATAGCCATGTTCATTTGCTGATACATTGTCTGCCTTTCACACACAGTTGCAAAAACAAAGACAGTATAACAATTATTTACTATCTAGGCTTAATAAATAGGCCTTTGCTTTCAAAAAGCAATGTCCCAAACTTTCTGGAATGTTCTGAGCTGTCCTAAGATGACCACTATCCAAATAGAACTTAAAAATCACTAATTAACACTGTCCCCTCGCCCAAACCATTGCTGGACTTTACAAGCATTCTTTGGAATTACATCACAGCTCTTTAATCCTCTACAGCAATTTAACTTTCTCTCCTTGAGTATTTTAATCAGAACCACATACATTACTCAAAACATGGCGTCTTCAGAACCTGACGGAGTCAGCTTTCTCATTCGGACCTAGGATTCAAGGGGATAAAGGTAACAACACGCTGTCAGTTAAGGCACAAGGCCTAGTGCATTCCAGGCAGTGTCCTTCACATACAGCTATTTCCCAGTCCCCTTTCCTTTTAGCATGAAAAAGTTGTTTGCACCTAGACCAGGACCAACTCCACAAGGAGTCATTCCACTCTCAGGGATGCAACACTGCTTAAAGGTAATCAGCACCAACACCAAAACAGTGCTGGGAGCCAACCCTTAATAAACAGCATTTATTCTTCCAACAGTGTAACACAATCACAGGCACCACACAGCCTGAATAGCTGACAACTGTTGGATCACTCCCTTCCCCAGGTTGCAGACATTGAATAGACTTCACAATTAGCTGCATGTTACTTTAAAGGAGGAATGGAAGTAAATTCTACACCTCCAGTTTTATCCAGCACTAGTCTCTGTCATTTGTCAAGGACTAAGTTTAGACTCTAGCTGTGAACAGAAATAAGACATTCTACTTTGCCTTCTAGGACTCAGTAAGCCATTCTTCAGTTGGAATGGCAGATCCTTCATACCCTCAAACAAAACCACCAATATTCTACAGTCACTGCTAAGAATGAATCTGCTTCCCAATTGTTTCTTGATGCATACCAAGGTATGTTAGAACAGACACTTACCTAATAGCCACACTTGCCCTGTTGTAAGGGGATGAAGACCACTTTTACTTCCAAGATATCCTAAAGAAAAGTAAGCAAGCTTAGCAATTCATAATAGTGAGGTAACATTTATAATAGCAAAAAACTAGTTCAGTCCTTCCATGGGACTGCATATGTGAAGCAGAGAAATGCCTCTTGCAAGTTAATCCTAAATTTATCACACAAAATGTAATTTATATCCCACGACTCAACTTCTTCCTACCTGCTAATTACCACTGAAGTCCTCTGTTCATCACTAGTCCTAAGACTGTTCCCAGTGAACACTCTAAGCACTCAAGAAAACGTGTTAATAGGTGAATAGAACACTGATGACCTGCAGCCCACATCTCCCCTGCAAGAGGGATCAAGATCACAGGTAGCAGGGGACAGTTTTATTCTGAGTATGGGAGTTATCTGAGTTTAGAATTAAGGTTTAGCTAGTGAAGTTGTCAGAAGTGGGATCAGTGTGAGGGAAGGAGTAACAATTCTAGAGAACAGATACCTGGAATGTCATGTTAAAGCCAGTGCAGACAGCTGCTAATGCTAAGGCAGGCCACATCTGGTGGCCTATTTGGAGAATACTTCCAGTGGTAAACTGGTACTGGCACAAAGTAATTGGGATGGCTATGAATTGGGATGGTAGATATTGAGGGAGTGATGGAGGGTTCAGAGAGGGTAATATCTTTCCTGTCAATACTGCAATTAGGGCTAGTTTCTGATTGCTTTGGAAGCCTACAGCATTAAATGGAAGGGCAAAGGACATGAACTGGTTAAGATGAGTGAGCTGAGTGGGCAATGGGGGTGTGTCAGAAGATACATGGTGTGTGTGTGTGTGTGTGTGCTTGGCAGGCCAGGCAAACAACCAAAAATATATAAAACAATCAGGGAATTGGGGTGGGCAAGAAACTTCTGGAAATTGATTCAGGTGTACTGTTTTCAGAGCTCAATTCTTGCTATCCCTACTGTCCATTCAAATCTAAAGGTGTCTGTCACCTTTAGAAGATATGCTGAGTCATGAAACTTCAGAGGGTACTAAGGCAGTCAGACAGTGGATCAGAAGATGCCACTAGCCCTTCAGGATATGGGCAAGGCATGAGGCTGGGATGTTTGCCTAAAATTGAGCCATTTCTTACAGCAAGGGCTTTTACACAGAGAACTCCCCCACCCCCATGCTTAGGACAGGGGCGGGGGAGATGTGTGTTGTAATCTAGCTTTATTATTGTGGGGAAAGGGAACCGTGCACTTTTTAAGTGAAAGTGCATTCTAATAATCCACTCCAATGTCTTAGGCCAGTTTGTACTAGTCACATGCCTCACTGGCTTGATTTCTTTTGTTCTGTCCCCACCCCCAAGTTGTGACTGAAGGAACTAACCTGTCAACCTGCCCTACCAAGACCCCTAAAACCTGCACTTGGGTTTCTTCTGCAGAACACGTTCTTACCTTAATGGGTAAGGAACTATGCTGACATCCTGGTATAGTTAACAACAGAGTTGGCATGAACCAGGCCAGAATGCCAACCAGCTATTGGCTGCTGTTCTCCCAGCAGTGTAACACTTGCCTAGGTACAGGGAAACCTAGGTAGCTGCCTACAGCTGGAGGAGGACTAGTTGAACTGTACTTACCAGGGCAGGCACCTCCTGAAAATGGCAGCTGGGCACTATAAAGTCAAAATGCCCTAGATTAGTCAGCCAGCAGTCAACAACTGTGCAGTTCAAAAAACAAAATCTCTGTCCTCAAACCCCCTTCACTTTGTGAAGACCAAGCCAGAGACAACAGTAGGGAATGTTTACCTTTGGGAGCTCCGTTAACAAAATCTCTAACTGCCTCAGAGTTCCTGTAGAAGTAGCAGGACAGTACCCTGTACGTCAGGTGGATGGGACCAGACTGCATTGCTATGGTGGCTAATGCTTGCCATCTTAGTATGTGGGAAGTTAGGGCAGTAGACTGACTCCACAACCAGCCTAGACTCATCCATGTCTGAATAAGCCAAGCTTAACAAAAACCTTCAGGATATAAGTGTAGAGTGGACACTCAGTGAGCAACAAAATGGCATACTAGTAAAAGATAGCATGATGGTCATAATTAAGTAGTAACAGATGTGACTCAGTGTGCTATCTAAAACCAGAGGCGAGGCTGGAATACATACATATGGGCAAATTATCCAAACCCATGCTATTCCCAAATTTTACATCTAACCTACTCCCAAGCAATTTAAAAAAAACAGGAAAACTAATATAGGCCTCATTGTTCAGGGCATGGGCTGAAGCCAATGTAGTTTTTTCCCCACGGACACGTGTTCCTCACACACCGTTCTCGGTCCCTGCCTGGTTCTCCAGAAATGCTAAACTGTGAACGTATTCTAGATGACTCCCCAGATAAAGAGACCTCATCTCATTGTGGCGACTCTTCGGGTTACGACTTTCCCTAGTCCCTTCAAGATGACCTCCAAGGCCGGAGGCACTAAAAAAAAAAAAAAAGCCGCAGTTTCTCCCCAAGCACAGGCACAGGCCCCCTCACCCTCCTTCTCGCCTGGATCGGTAAAATCTCCAGGACCTCTCCTCGTCGGGCCCTCACTTACCTGCACGTGTTCGGAGCTCTGCAGGACACAGCAGCCACCTCAGAGGCCACGGAAGAAAGGGAAGCCGGGAGCCGATAGGAGCCCCGCCCCGGGGCGGTTTCAGGGAGGGGCGATAAGTCCCGCCCAAGAAAGGCGGGGCTAGAAACACGTCAGGCTGACCACAGAGCAGAGTGAAGAGTCATTTGCATTGACCTGTTTTACAGAATTGCTTAGTCTCTCAACAAAGGCTGTACTGGGTTCCTTATATATAGGAGCCCTGGGTTTGCAGCTGCTGGAGACCAAGCCCCTTATTTTGAACCCTAGCGTTTCCTTTCCCTGAAGTTAAGAATTATAATTCTATCCTGCTGAACAAATCGTGATGCTGGGGCTCAGAGGAGCAAGGTCCACCAACAGCAATTCCTGAGTCCATTTTGTAACTCCTTCAAATCCTGTGCATCCTCCTTTCCTAGCCTCTCAGTTCGTTATTACACCTGTCAAAAATGGCCAGGCAAGCCTCTGGGAATCAGTCACTGTCCTTGGCATCTGCCATCATGTTTTATTATCCATTTCCTCAATACATAGTGGAAGGGGGTGGATGGTCCTGTGCATCCCAGCCTTAGCATACCTCCTTTGAAAACACATACATGGCACCCCAAATTGATTCCGACAAGAGACCCTAGGCTACAAAGCCAAAAAACTACCGGAGAAGTAGCAATCCCCAATCTTCCTCCCCAGGTTTGATGGAGTTGGACACTGCCCCTGGCTAGGGAAAGGCTTACATAAATCAGCAATTTTAAGGTCACATGGTGAAAGCTGAACTGGAAAGCAGGGCTCTGTTTTGCAGTTAAAAAGGAATGTGACTGAAGACTGCTGTCATAATCAATGTAGCATCCGGCTGTCACAGTGTATTCATAAAAGGAGGGTTTATGAGACCTATAAAGCCTAGCAGATTGGCTGGGTAATTGGCCAGCAGAGCTCTGCTAAAGGAGGAATTGCATTGGCTCTTCCCTTTCAAACCCACAAAGGAGAGATGGCAGGACTACCTGAAGATTTCATAGAAGGGAAGATCACAGTAGAGTATGCATGCACTTGTTCATGAGTGACTTCAGAGAGGAGGCAGGAAATAAATGAACACAGGGAAATGTGAGGGTCTCTTAGAAAGCGACCAAGAAACTGGTATTGACTGTATTTACAACTTAATCTAGCTAGAAATAGAAGGCAAGAATTATGTAAAAGAAAGGCAAGTCATTGTTGAGTATGGCTATGTGGTAAACCCTGTTCTCGAGTCATAGTGGAAAGGTAGCCAACACTTTTTAAGATGGACTATTATTTGTCCTATGGAGGAAAACATGGATTATGATTTCTCTTTTTCATAATAAAAAATCCTTCATAGCCTTTTAAAAAATACGTCCTTTTAAGTTATGGTAGTGGTTGATTTATGTGTATGTAGGCTTATTTTGTTGTTATCTGTACGTCCAACATTTTCCTATATTTTTGTCTCTTCTACTTGCAAAGACAAGACTGTAGAGAGAATAATAAAAGCAAAGAAGGAACACTTCTTGCTAGGTAACTCAGCTGGGCCCTGAACTCATTATGTAGCCCAAGAAAGGGCATTTTCAGACCAATAATGCAGGTGGGTGGGAAGCAAAGTATGATGGGAAGCAGTAGAATGAAAGTTCAGCCAGAGTGACCACCTCGACAAGCTTCTTGCTTTTTCCTCATTTTCCCACTTTTTGTTGTTGTTGTTGTTTTGTCCACTGTGTGTGTGGGGGGGGGGGAGTTTCAAGACAGGGTTTCTCTTCACAGCCCCGTAGACCAGGCTGGCCTCAAACTGATAGAGATCTGCTGGCCTCTGTCTACCTCGACGGGGACCACCAGTAGAAAAGTACTAATAATTTATTACCATTCAACAGATGCAGGTAAAGTCAGAGAAATAGAGATTTCTGTTTGCCTAAATTTTAGTCAAGTAGGAAGTAACAAATACTATATACATGGGTTATGGCAGCTAGCATGGCCTGGGAGAGTTCTAGAGCTGCATTCTCTCCCACAGACCCTAAGTATTTCTGTTTTCATCTCTGTACTACACTAGCTGGTAAATAAACAATGCTAGCCAAATTAGATAGGGATTCTGTATTGCCATCATTATTTCTCAAAAGCATCATTAGATTGTCAACACTGTGGGGAAATTAAAATTCTCATGTGCTCTGGTAGCAGTGTAAGATGGTATGGCTGTTTTGGAGAACAGTCTGGCAGGCAGGTTCTGCGGCACACACGTTGGAAACATTCACATTGAAGGAAGGACTGTCGCAAGCTTCAAGTCACCTGGGGTGCATAGATCCAGTTCCAGACTATCAGGGTGGTATAAAAAGATCTTTTCTCAGTTTTTTTTTAATTTTAAAAAAAAGAAACAAAGAAAAAAATGAGAGATAAAGGAAGAGAAAGAAAAATGGGTTTGGGGGTCCTCTGGAAGACAGGGACTGCTTCCTAACTGTTCAGCATTTCTCAGCCCTCTTTCTTTCTTTCTTCCTTCCCTCATTCCTTCCTTCCTTCGTTTCCTTCTTTCTTTCTTTTTGAGGCAGGGTTTCTCTGTGTAGCCCTGGCCACCCTGGAAGTCACTCTGTAAACCAGGCTGGGTTCTACTCAGAGATACACCTGTCTCTGCCTCCTGAGTGCTGGGATTAAAGGGGTTTGCCACCACCTTCAGACTTTCTTTCTTGAAACAGGGTCTCACTATATAATTTAGGCTGACCTCACATTTACTATGTAACTCAAGCTGGCCTTGAATTCTAGGTGATCATCCTACAGAGGCCTCTGGATTTATGGGTGTGTATCACTGTGACTAACTGAACTGTGTACATTAAGTGCTGGAGGGATGGCTCAGACGTTAAGAGCACTGGTTGCTCTTCCAGAGGACCCAGATCCCATTCTCAGCACCCACATGGCAGCTCACAGACCTAGAACGGATTTTTTCCTATGTGTCCTGTGGCTTCTCAGTATCTGGGAAAACATAAAGCATGTGGGCCAGCAGTATAGCAGGTTGGAAGACTTCATTCCTTCCCATCCTTCCACTTCCTATGACAGCTCAGTTCAACACGTAGGATGTACCTACTATGCACACACCATGTAGAACTGAAAAGAGCCAATGTTTCTTTACTGTCTTGATGGGAGATGTTATTCTGTAAATATGTTTCTCTTATTGGTTAATGAATAAAGCACTGTTGGCCAATAGGAAAGGAAGATAGGTGGGACTAGGAGACAAGGAGGAGAGAGGAAGGAGTAGGGAGGAGATTCAAGATGGAGGACCTACAGGGTAGAATGCCAGCCCCTCTCTTCAGTAAGATAAGACCACGTGGAATTAGGTTAATAGAAATGGGTTAATATTTAAGACATAGCTAGCCGATAGGAAACTACTAACTGGCCTATAGCATTATATCAAATACAGAGTCTCTGTGTATTATTTGGGGCTGGCGGGGTGGTGGGACCTGACCAGCAGAGGAAAAACCACTCATAACACTATCTCCAATGTTTGAAATTATATTATTATGATAATTAACTCTGTGCAAACAAATACAGCTTTTTAGATTAAAAAGGCAGTTATTTGCCAATAACAGTCACAACAGCCTGGGACATCAGGCTCCTTCTGTTGCATGTAGGGAAACATAGTAACCTCAGCTGCAGCAAGACCAATCCCCAGTCCTTGGAGTTGAGCAAGCTCCAGGACTTGGCTCCCTCTCACAGGCCTCCAATCACCCCTTCATTGGTTGCTAGACTCGATTTGTTAGTCTATTTTCATACCCCTCATTTTCTCACCATCCCCCACCCCCACAGTGTCCAAATTGGCCCTCCAGTACTGGAACCATTTGCCGGAACTTCATTAAACTGAGCACAGGGGAAATTATAGAGGAGATTTCACTTGTCACTTAGGCTCCAATATAGAAAGTAATTTTGTAAGGACAGTGCTGGGAGGCTATTTTTATCTCGATGTCTGTGCTGAGCTCTCTAACCCTGCAGTCTCTCCTTCTCCCTCCTGGCTATCTCGCCTTTTCTTTGTTTTCCCCTCAGACTGAATGTTGTGCCTTAAATATTTATCCAGGCTTCACACTTGAGCTTGTCACAGATTCTCTTATGCTCTATCCTTTACTTCATCTCTTTATTCAACAGGCAGCAGGTCCTGTGCTGGGCACCAGGATGTGTAAGTGGAAAGACGGAGCCCCGCTGCTGGGGAGTTACAGCCTGATAAAGGGTCTTGGGGACAGTGAATTCAGATTTGGTCACCAGAAAGCTGGGAAGAAAAGATTTGGCCTTTGGGATTCTGATAGGAATCTTACTACCCAGTAAATGGGGATGTGCAAATAGCCAAAAGCCTCACATATTTATTAGGGAAAAGTCCATTGGCCTCGGCTTGCATGTGATATGTTGTCCTCTGGGTAGAGAGAACATGAATTTGAGAGCCAGATATAGGTTCGATTGTGACTACGCCACTCACAAATTAGTAGCTTGACTTTGAGGTAAGTGACCCCTGAGCCTCAGTTCCTCATCTGTAAATTAAGAATAGTATCTGGGCATGGTGGCATGTACCTACAGTCACTTACTTAAGATCCTGTGCCAGGAGGATTTCTTGAGCCCAGAATTTGGAGATAGCCTGGGCAATGTACCAAGATGCAATCTCTTAAGAGAAAAAAAAAATGAAAAAAGAAAACACTACATTTTTTTCATAGCTTAATTTCTTCTCACTTAAAACTTTTTTTTTAATGGGAGGTGGCTGTCACTCTGAAGTCCAGGTTGTTCAAGAACCCACTGTGTAGTTCAGGCTAGACTCACATTCCTGGCAATCTTTTTGTCTCAGCCTGTTGAGTACTAGTAACCTCTTATGTCCAACTTTTTAATTTAAAAATATGAATCTGAGACAGGCATGGTCGTATGTGCCTTTCATTCCAGGATTTCAGCACTCCAGAGGCAGAGGCAGGCAGATCTCTGAGACTGAGGCCAACCTGGTCTACAGAGTGAGTTCCAGGACAGTCAGGGCTGCAGAGAAACCTCGCCTTGAAAAGCAATAAAATAAGGATCTGGTGGGGGAGATACCTCAGGCAGTAAAATAGTTGCTGTATGAGC